ACACCTGGAGCAATCTGAGCCATGGATCTCGGGTAGGTTACGTATGTCTCCGTGCGGCTTGGCTGTGTGCTTGGTTGTGAACGGTGAGCGCCAGGCTCCCAGGGAGCCTTCAGGTTCTAAATCGGGGACACCTGGTCACGCCACCACGGGAGATTAAAAGGGACTGCAAATCCGTCCCAGACTGTACATCCCCAAATGCTCTCCCCAAACCCAGCTCAACCGTCACTGCTTCCTTTCCCAGGACCCCCTGGCATTTCTGCACAAACCTCCGGGGTGTCCCCATTGGACCCTGCGCCCCCCGGAGGCTGGGACCTCCCGGGACCGCCCCGCGCACCCACGTCTCCGGAGCCGTTTCCGCAGCCCCGGCCTCGGATGCTGCCCCAGGACGGGAAGAAACCACGGACTGGGGCGCTTGCACGGGGTCTGGTGTCAGTGTCCACAGCATCCCATCCCTCCTGGAGCCTGGGCACACGGTGCCCCCAAAACCCCGGGGGGCGGGACGGCCTCAGGCCCTGAAGCCCCTGGCGGCCCTCAGAGTTCCCCACGCGGCCCGGCGCCGCGGTCCGTCCTCTCACCTCCCGGGCTCAGCAGCAGCCTCAGCGCCTCCACAATCCGCTCCAGGCAGCGTGCCTCCAGAGGACCGCCACCCGCGGCCGGCCCGCGGCCCGCCATGACTGGAGTGGCACGCGCCACTCTGCGACCTGCTCAGGCGCCTCGGCGGCCCGCGCGCGCCGCCATGTTGTGTGTGGCAGGAGCTGCGCGCGCAGCGCTGGGGGCGGGGCCATAGGCGTGGGTGTGGCTGTAGGTATGGGCGGGGCCGACGTGAGCGGGAACGCCCATTTGTCCTGACATTTTCTCCATCCCTTTACTGCCCTGGGGGCGGGGGACCCACAGCTACTATAACTTGCCTGGATGCACAATGAACCGCTACATCAAGAAGGAAATTAGAAGTAGTTCATCGTGAAATAATATATATTTCAGTATGAAAGATGCATGTACTGAATGAAATGGGCGGGGGGGGGGGGGAAATAGATGCAGAGGCAAGGAAGCATTGAGCAGACTGCCAAACTACAGCGGGAAGGCAGGGGAGGTTGGGGGGGGGGGGATGCGGGGACTGTAAGAGATCAATCGAAGGACTTGTATGCATGCATATAAGCATAACCAATGGATACAAGACACGGGGGGGCGGGGGGGAAGACAGGTGAGGGCATGTACTTGGGGTAGGGGAGGACAGACGGGGGAAGGTCAATAGGGGGAAAAGGGAGACATATGTACCACTATTTGAAATACTTCAAACAATAAATTTTTAATATTAAAAAAATTAAAGAAAAAAGTAGTTTATCGCAAAATAATATGTATTTCAGTATGAAAGCATGCATGTACTGAATGAAACAATGGGAGACCTAGGCAGATAGAACATTGGTCAACCCAGAACTAACAAGGCTTTTGGTATCCAATAGTTATCAGTGGCTGTTTTACAGAAACAGAATCGCCAGTAAAGACCTCAGCAAGTTAAGGGTTTCTGGCTTCTAAAGCCACATGTGATAAGTGGAGTGGATGCAGTCCATCTTTCATAACTGACCCCTAAATTCTTACCCTATGCGTCTGAAAACCTTAGTCTCTGTGATAACCCCCCACCACCCACTCCACAAAAGACATTACTGAAGCTTCCTTTCACTTATCTTAAAGGTTTTACCTTTATATTACCTCTCCCTTTAGCATCAAGCAGATTCTTGTCTGAGGGGAACTTTATCTACTTAGGTTTTGGATATGGGGCCTGTGAATTAAACTGACAAAAGGCAGATAAGCAAGAGAAAAACCAGATGTTTATGCGCGTCCTAAAGAATTCACAGAAAAATGTGCCTCGATGAGGTGGTTAGAATTGAGGGTTTGTATGCTGTCCTAATAGGGGAGGGAGAGAAAGGGCAATGAAAGGAAAACAAGTGACTGAGAAAAAATAAATGGGAGATACGATAGTTTTGTGACAATACCTGCTGGTGATTTCCTATCCCAGTGAAGCCAATGTTCTACCCTCCTTGGTTGTGAAACTCCCGGGAAGATTTATGACTGTTGAATCCTTTTGGGAGGCTCTGCTTTTAGGCAGATAAGGGGAGTTCAGGAGAAAAACCTCTTCATTAGAGGTATATTCTGGACCCCTTTATCCTTATTGCAACTCAAAATTCAGAGGCTCTTTGCTGTCTCTGGTCCCCACCCCAGGCCAGTTCAACCCTGCAAACAGATGCACCTTCACTTTGGGTCACATAGTTCTGCCCAACGCACTTGAATAGTTCTATCTGACTAAATCCAGTCTGGCTTGGTCTTTTCTATCATCCTGCTTTTGCTTAAATGATTCCTCTACTCAAAACTCCCTTCCTGTGGCCCTTATTCAGCAATAGAAAGAAAAGGAAACAGGAGAGGGTAAGGTTAAATAACTTGTCTAAGCTCAGAGTATGAACCCAGCCCCGGCCAGTTTAGCTCAGTGGATAGAGCGTCAGCCTGAGGACTGAGGGATCCCGTTCCAGTCAAGGTCACGGACCTTGGTTGCACACACATCCTCAGTAGGGGGTGTGCAGGAGGCAGCTGATTAATGTTTCTAACTCTCTATCCCTCTCCCTTCCTCTCTGTAAAAAAATCAATAAAATTTATTAAAAAAATAAAGTACAGAACCAGAATTAGAACTCAGGCAGGATGGCTCCTGTCTTCTCCATATACCACCTTGTCAGGACCTACAGAACTAGCAAGAGGGAAACAAAGGCACAGCTCTCTAGACTTCCCATCATCCAATTGGCTCCTGGCTGAGCCTGCTACCTTCTCAGTAGTCTTTTTCAGAAAGTTATTTCCTTGCTCATACAGCCCCTTGCTTATGGTCAGTCCTCTGTAAACAGTTTAATTTATTCATGGTAGAACCATTATATTTGTCTTTATCGTATTTCCCCCTATTTTTTATTACTGTAAAGTAGATATAAAATTTACCATTTTTAAGCATATGATTCAGTGGCAATAAGTACATTCACAATGTTATGCAACCATTTTATACTCCCATGTCAAACTTTTCATTAAGGTAAAATATGCATAACATAAAATCAACCATTCTAATGTAAACAAATCAGTGGTATTAAGTATTCACATTGTAGCATGTGTCGGGATTTTTTTTTTTTTTTTAAAGAATAGTTTATTGATTTCTCAGGAGAGGAAGAAGAGGAAGTGAGAAACATGGATGTGAGTGCAACATGGATCCATTGCCTCCTGCATGCCCCCAACCAGAGATCAAGCTCACAATTGGGATATGTGCCCTTGACCAGGAATCAAACCAGCAACCGCCTGGTGCTGGGGATAATGCCCAGCCCACTGAGCCACACCAGCCAGGGCAAGATTTTTCTTTTCTTTTTTAAAAATATATTTTATTGATTTTTTACAGAGAGGAAGGGAGAGAGATAGAGAGCTAGAAACGTCAATGAGAGAGAAACATTGACCAGTTGCCTCCTGCACACCCCCTACCGGAGATGTGCCCGCAACCAATGTACATGCCCTTGACCAGAATCGAACCTGGAACTTTTCAGTCTGCAGACTGGCGCTCTACCACTGAGCCAAACCAGCTTTGGCTCTCCTTTTTATTTAATATTTTTAAATATATATCTTATTAATTTTTTTACAGAGAGGGAGAGTAAAAGTTAGAAACATCGATCAGCTGCCTCCTGCACACCCTCCACTGGGGATGTGCCTGCAACTCAGGTACATGCCCTTGACTGGAATCAAACTTGGGACCCTTCAGTCTGCAGGCCGACGCTCTATCCACTGAGCCAAACCAGCCAGGGCAGATTTTTTTTTTTTTTTTTTATCTTTTTAAGGCTGAATAACATTCCATGTTTTGTATATGCCCCATTTTGCTTAATATACTCATTCACTGATGGACATTTGAGTTGTTTCCACCTGTTTTGACTGTTGTGAATAACGCTACAGTAAACACAGATGCAGGCATTGCAAACATTTTTCATGTTTGCTTTTGCCCTCTGTTGATATGCTTTCCTTCCTCAAGTTGTTCCTTTCCAGACAGCGTTAACACTTTGCCCCGAGATTCATCGTTTATCTCCTAAGAATAAGGATCGTCCTAGTGAACGATGTCACCATTATTAAACCCCTGTTAATGTATTGAGTGCAGTTTAACTGTACACTTAAAGATAATTAAAGGTGATATATATATAGTTTACAATTTAAATTTTTTAAAAGTAGTTAAAAAAGTTACACTCCTCCAGCAGAGAAAAGTCAAAGGCCTATCCCAGGACTTCTCAGAGGCACCACTGCCATCTAGGGCCTGATAAGTCTTGGTTATGAGGGGCAGTCCTGTGCATGGCAGGATGTTTAGCAGCGCCTCCCCAGTCATGACAATCAAATCCTACCCAGAAACTGCCAAACATCTCCTGGGAGAGGGGGCCACAATCTACCTGTTAGAGAACCTCTGGTCTTTATTAACTTTGCTGACGACTGCTGTTTGAAGCTCTACTTCTTACCCTCAGCTCAGCCCAGACCTCTCCCATTGCCAAAGGAATTGTAGTATTGGTTTCACAACATGCACATGAATAGGTGTTTATAATTTTGGACCTTTTAAATAATATATTTTTTGTATTGATTTCAGAGAGGAATAGAAACATCAATGACGAGAGAGAATCATTGATCGGCTGCCTCCTGCATGCCCCCTACTGGAGATTGGGCCTGCAGCCTTTGACCAGAATCCAGCCCAGGACCCTGCCGTCTACAGGCAGAAGCTCTATTCACTGAGCCAAATCAGCTAGGGCATAAAGAGATGTTTTTCAAATAAAGTGACCTTGAAAATGCAGTTTCTCTTCCACTTTGTGCACCACATGGGGAAAAAAACACACACACAAAGTTCTAGAGAAGTCATTTGAATATAAAGCTCCTTTCTCCATGGTTAGACTGAGTTAATCTATCATTTGTCTTGCCTGGGATTGAGGTGCAATCAAATAAAACAAGTTTGACAATGATTTAACAAAATTCTTTAATAAAATTTATAAAAATGAATATTTAGGTATACGTTTTATCAGCTTGAATTGTTTTTCCATCCCCAAAGAAAATAGAAATTATCAGCACCCGCACACACATCCACTCAAAACTATAGTGACTGTCTATTCAGAACTACATTAGAGTTCAAATTGCTTTAAAAAAATCAAGACAATTCCAAGAAGTGGTTGCAGTGATTACTTTTTTTCCTTTGAAAAGCAGTTGATGGACAGTAAGCAATTTTCTGTGATTGTCAAAAGTTTTTGATAGTCGCATCTCAACGAAAAGAATATCCAAATCAAGGTTCTCCTTAACCCCCACGAAAAAACTGGAGTTCCTAATACTCTGTTTTCTCAGATTTGGGGGCAAATGTATCCAGATCAGCCAGTACTTCCTGTGGACAGCAACAGAAGCAAGCACTTGGGGATTCTAGGGACCATGGTCTGGAGATCCGGGTAGGAAACACATGTTGAGAGCCTCCCATTTTTTCCAGAATTTTCAGGGCTAGAGGTAAAGCCATTTCAACCACTCTCAGCCTCAGTTCGCTGAATTGCCAGGCTCAGTGACAATTTCTCCTGCCATCTCCAAGCAATTTCTCCTGCCTTCTCAAAACACCTCCATGTTTTCCATCAGCTGTGAAAAGCCATCTTCTCTCTTTGGCTGCAACGCGTTCGGCACTGTTCTGAGTCTCGAAATACATCAGTCTTTTTTACGTTTTTGTGACCAACTTTGCACCTGAAAACTCATCACTGACTCTGACCAAAGCTCCTTGTTTAGGACCAAAGTACCCCCATCAGGACATTCACATAACTAACATTCTGACTCAGAACAAGCAAAGGGGTAGATGTCCATTTCAAGTTACACACTTAGGAGATGAAAAAAAGAAAACTGTTGAAGGTCTTAAGAGTATACAATACCCAGTCACAATATGGCCAGGCTATGACAAAGCCTCTTACCCTAAAAGGGCCCAATAGCTTCTGCCTCACAGAAGTCCTGTCTCGGGTAAAGTAAATTGAGGAGTGAGAGTGGAGACTGGAACATGGGACACCCATGCGGTGATAGGATAAAAAAAATTAAAAATTAAATTTTATGTATATACACAAAACAATAGGGCATTAAACCCCTCCCCTTCCTTTTAAAAAAATGAGACAACACCCTTTAAAAAATCTGCAAGCTTGTAAAGAGTGATAAGAGAAAGAAAAGACTCAAGAACTAAGTCAAAATCTTTCTAACACACAGATTAGACCTACAAAGTGGAAATCATACTATCCTAATGGCATCACTGATCAATCTCTCTTCCCCAGCTATTCATCTCACATACGGGGAGCTGAAAGACGTCCAGAGGAATTATTCCTACATTTCCCAGCACACAAGCATAGGGACCTGGAGTCCCCTAATCGTCCACGCCACCTCCATACATATCTGCCAGCTTCTTGAAGCGATTGCCCCATTCGTTCAGGTAGTCATAGTCCTGGTCTTGGTCTGACTCCGAGGAGTTCAGGGAGCTCAGACTAGCAGCTTCGGAACCATTTCCTTCGTAGTCAAACACAAGCAGAGAGTCGTAAGGGGGAGCCGTGGGGTCGCTGTCGGCCGCCTTCAAATTCTAAAGAAGAAGGAAGAAAACAGGATCTCTCAGTGAAAGGAGCCACGCACCTGACATCTTGGGCAAGATGCCTTCTCTTGGTGCCTCCCTCAGGCAAAGTGGACCGCAGGGCAACGCAACCACCGCCCTGCAGAACCCCGGGAGCAATCAACACCAACGTGGTGAATTTCTACCAACTGCCCCCCCAAGGTGGACATGATACGTTGTTAATGAAAAGAAAGTTAAGGGAAAATATGCAGAATATCTTTCCCCCTAAAAATGAAAATGTTATTTATAAACCAAATGAGATCTACTCTGTATCTCTTTCATTCCATTTCTAATTCTATTCAGTCTTTTCAAGGGATTCTTGGTGTTGTCATACGGGCTTCACAATTCACTAAGGTCCATTCGAAATGATATCATTTCTGAAATTCAGGTGAGACACACAACAATAGGGCTCGGGGTCATGAGAGATGACAATGTGGCAAAGGAAAGCATCTAGACTCTGAACTTTGGACACAAACGCTCCTTTCAAGTTTAGAGATGAGCTGTGCCTTGGCTTTCGACTTTGCTTACTTACTTCATCAATAAAGTTTCCAATTTCATCGGGATTGGCAGGGCGGGGCCGATACTGGGGCATGCTCAGGAGGGTTGGCGCCACATCATTGCGAGTCACTTCCGGCCGGGCATCCAGGCCCCTGTGCAGCTGGCTCAGGTCAAAGTCCTTTGGAGAAGAAGGTGAAAGTATTAGCAAAGAGTAAGCCAGAAACAGGCTTCTGTTTGGTTTATAGGTTATGGTACTGGATAATGCCTTCACTGACCACTATGCATTTACAAGCATGTGCCAGTGAAAGGTGAAATGGTAGTTTTCAACCTAAGAGTCTCCAAATTAGCACTGGAAGGAACTATAGCACAAAAGGATTGCGAGAAGCACTTGTAGGTAGAGATGGAGAAGGTTGGATCTTATTAACTTCTCACAGGGCATGATTATTAGATTATTATTCAGCAAATATTCATGCCCTTCCCACCCTATCAGGACTCTGTAATGGGTCTGATGCTTCCCTTTCTAAAAACAGCAGACTTCTAAAACTTCTCTGGAAAACTCCAGGGCAAGGCAAGTTAAGACTACCTCCAAATCAGGACAAATAAAGAAAACCTAGCCCTAACCAGTTTGGCTCAGTGGATAGAGCATCAGCCTGCATACTGAAAGGTCCCAGGTTCATTCTGGTCAAGAGTATGTATCTTGGTTGAGGGCACATCCCTCTCTCTTCCTCTTTGTAAAAAAATCAATAATATATATACATATATATATATATATATATATATATATATATATATATATATTTTTTTTTTTTTTTTTTAAAGAAAAGAAAATCTAAAGACTTAATATCTACAAAAGGTAAAAAACAGTTTAGTGTAGCTAAAATAATTCAAGGGGGAAAATTATGAGGTCAGATCAGTTGCCCCATGTCAAAGATAATTTGAATGAAGACTATCAATGAGGAAAGTAGGCTCTGGATCAGACTACCTGGTTCTAATGCTTCCTAGCTGTGTGACTTTGGGTAAGTTGTTTAGCTGCTCTGTGCCTCTGTTCAGTAACTTGAGTGCAGAACAGTGCACATTCAATAAATGTCAGCAATGTTGTATTGATGACGGTGGCCAGTGGCAATGTCTATGTTCTTGAGCAAGGCTTTACTTTTTTTAATATATTTTATTTATTTATTTATTTATTTATTTATTTATTTTAAATATATTTTAATTAATTTTTCACAGAGAGGAAGGGAGAGAAATAGAGAGTTAGAAATATCAATGAGAGAGACATCGATCAGCTGCCTCCTGCACACACCCCCCTGAGGATGTGCCCAAAACCAAGGTACATGCACTTGACCGGAATCAAACCCGGGACCCTTCAGTCCACAGGCCAACGCTCTTTCCACTGAGCCAAACCGGTTTTGGCATTGGGTCAGGCTTTAAATACACACACACACACACACACACACACACACACACACACACACACACGAAGTGACACAGAGCTAGCTCAAATGTCTGCCCTCTAACCATTGCTTCTTCCAAATAAATGGCCACTGAGATGTTTACCACGGTTTTTAAAACCCACCTGGTCCTCTTCTCCACCTCCTTCTTCATCGTAGTAATACACGTTGTCCCGGGTGTCATCTTCCGGGGGCAGTAAGGGCTCTTTGACCACCCGTTTCCTCCGGACAAACAGCAGAAGCAGCAGAATCAGGACTGTAAGGGGAAGACAGAGGTCAAGAAGGCCATAAGCAGTAATGGTCAGAGCACACTGCCTCGTGTACCAGACGGAGGGCTGTTAAGACAACCCCTGTGGGCATGCTCACCTCCCTGCAGGTAACAATATGCATTACAACATACCGGACAATATGTGAACTCAAGTGCGGTCTTGAATTCACAACTGGATCTAAAACCAATCGGTTGTTTTCCAAAATCTGAGGGAAAGTGCTCCACGTGGTGGGAATGGTACCAGTAAAGGCCATGTGTGGTGTGATTCAGGAAGGGGAGGTCAGCGTGGCTGTAGCAGGATGAGTGGGGGGGAAAGAAGCGCTGAGGAGGGCAGAGGGATAGCCAGGACATGTGGATCACTGGAAGGACTTTGGTCCTAAGCGAACTGATGCCACTGAAATTTTGAGAGCAGGGTTGGGCCTAAATGTGATTTGATGCATGCATGTTATTATTAATCAATTATAGGGTGGGGCATAGACTATTAAAAATCTCCTAAGATAAAATCATGTAAGCAAGCTTTTAAAGCTGTTTAATTTCCAGGGTTTTCATCTGCTCTTGGGATAATTCTAAGACATGCAATTAACATTTAATGTTTTAAAAATATCAAATTATTTATTATAAATGAAGAAATTATACAGGGTGTCCCAAAAAAATGTATAGATACTTAACAGCTGATAGCTCAGACGTAGAAGATACTGAGTCACAGCAAGATTCAAAGCCACAAGACAGGTATTTTGCAAGAAAGCACATTGTTCCAAAGGTTCAGAGGCGAAAGACCCTAAACTATTTGCAAGAGGAAGATAGTCCACCCACTGCTCCAGGCACACAGAAAATTTGGAAACAAACATGGGTTTGTTCTCATAACAATTCAGATGGAGACTATATGCAGGAAAACTAGCTGCTTATGGGTATAAAATCAATTATAGTGTTTTATAGAATGAAAGATTGCTGCTATCTTTGTTCTTGTTAAAACAAGAAGATCCCCTGGGAGAAATACCAGATTCTGTCCTAGCCGGGCAGCTCAGTTGGGTAGAGCATCATCCCGGTATACCAAGGTTGTGGATTCGATCATTGATCAGAACACATATAAGAAGCAACTATGATATATAAGGATGTTACTACCTGAGGTTCTGTATTACCCTGAGAAGCACTATCCTGAGGGACTGGACACATACAAGAATGTAGAAATAAGTGAGACAACAAACCGAGTTTTTTGAAACTATAAAAACATCTGTCAACCCTAGGTGGCTCAGGGAGTTATCAGTTTTAAACACTACAGCAGAAACTGCCAGATTTTTCCCCAGTATCTTTTTTTCTCCTTCATTCTTTCAGTCATTGATATTCACTGTTCACCCCACACTCCACCCTGCCCTCTGCTACGATTTAATCGGTCACATGGTCACCCAATTAGAGTGGGGAGTTCCAGAGGTGGCTGTGATTGGGCCAAGGGGGTGTGAGTGAAGGGGATATGTGCAGTTTCCAGATGTGTCCCTTCCCTTTCCTCGATCATCCCTCCTCTAGGATGGAATGTGCAGGAGGTGAGCTGGCTGGCTCTGACCATATCTGGCTGATGAGGACAGAATCCCAAGGCCTTGTGGCCCTGAGTGGATCTAAGAACCCGCAATGTCCAGCATCACGTGGGAGCTGGTTGAAAATGCTGAATCCGAGGCCCCACCCCAAACCGACTGGATCAAAACTGTGACATTACAAAGAGACACAGATAAACAAACAAAGAGGTGCAGGCAATTTGTCTGCCCATGAGCTTGAGAAGTACTTCCCTGATGGATCGAACAAACAATGAAAGAGAAAGGGCTGGGCCCCCAGTTGACTTAACACATTGCGGACCAGTAGACTTACTGCTAGCTTTACCCGGCGGCCAGGTTAAGTTTCTATTGAACAAGTACAAAAAGCGTTTTACGTAATAAATGTTAAAAGCACGCTTTAAGCCAAAACCGGTTTGGCTCAGTGGTAGAGCGTCGGTCTGAGGACTGAAAGGTCCCGGGTTCAATTCCGGTCAAGGGCATGTACCTTGGTTGCGGGCACATCCCCGGTAGGGGGTGTGCAAGAGGTAGCTGGTTGATGTTTCTCTCTCATCGACGTTTCTAACTCTCTTTCCCACTCCCTTCCTATCTGTAAAAAAATCAATAAAATATATTTTTTTTTAAAAAAAGCACGCTTTAAAATTAAATACCCATTGCAGTTTGAAGTTATTTATTACATGTTCTTATAAGCTAATACCTACTATACAGAATTCTCGTGACTGGCCACTAGCCTTAAAACAGCAGACACAAGAATTCTCATGATCTGTTCGCAATGTGTTAGTACAACGAGTGTGGCTTTCCAGTCTTGGACCTCTGAAATGTTCAACAGGTGATAAACCTCCCCTATGTTAGAAGTCAAAGGACATTCGCCAGCTGTACTTACTTAGCAAAGCCAGGATGCCTCCGAGAATCCCCAGGATGGCCGGAAGCTGCAGTCCACCTTCGACAATGGCGGCATTCCTCTTGCAGCTGCTGACGGCCCCTTCGCAGTCACACACGTACACTTCTAAGGTGGTCACCTGGTCTTTGTTCTGGTTATCCTCGAGCCTGAGGTTTATTTTGTAGTCTCCCAACTCTAAGGTTTTCTTTGGCTTCAAAGTGATAGATTCACGCCCTAGAGGAAGCAACAGAAATAAACGATGTGAAATCAGGAGAGAGAAAAATTGGTTTACTGTCGAATAAGATTATTAGGGAACTAAAGATGTCCCAAAGCTGCCTGGATTGGAGTTTACGGAGCACTATGTTCCAGAGTCAACCAGCTGGGAAAAGGGACGCTTGGTGGAAGCCTCAAATGCAGAGAGGATGAAGGAAACAAGCATCGCCATGAAAGGGGTGACATCTGCAAGTTAAGAAGGGAACTTCAGAAGGGGGAGGTGGGGGAGAGGATGGGGGCAGCAGCATGAAAGTCAGAGCAAAGTTTCCAAAATGAGATGCTAAATTCCCACCTGGGTCATTGTACTCAATGGTCCAGTTGACGCTGGCCCCGTGAGTCAGTTCTGCTATGAAAGGCGACGTGTTGGGGGGAAGATCTGGATCAACGATGTTGATGACGTGAGGCTGTGGGTCCCTCTGGCAGAATTCCAAAGTTCGAGGTTCCGGCACAGGGGCGTTGTCGTTCACGTCAGAGAGGACCAGGAGAAGGGTTCCCGTCCCAGTGGCAGGTGGAGAACCTAAGAAGAAACACACAGGATATACCACAGCTCGGGGACATGGATGACTCCCTACTGCTTCCCACAGACTGAACCCAAAGCTTGTCCTGGCTCTTCAGGGGTCACCTGCCCACAGAGCCTCCTAACCTGCATCTTCACTCCTGGTTGGGCAGGTCTCTGACATGCTAATTCCACATTTTTAAAATTATTCAAGTTACTAGAGGCCCAGTGCATGAATTCGTGCACAGGTAGGGGCCGATCGGGCTGGGCCGGCTGGGGGGAGGAGCCACGGGCAGTAGACAGGCCAACCACGCCCTCTGGTCAAACTTCTGGTTGAACTCCCAGTCAATATCCTGGTAGAGGGGTCAATTTTGCATATTAGCCTTTTATTATATAGAATTCCTCATACCAAGAGCACCCTTCTTCCTCCTCTTCGCCTATCTTTATTCATCCATTAAATTTCCACCCCTCTAAGAAGTCTGCATTGCCCCCACCAGTTCTCCTTTTTTCTGAACTTCTATGGCTTTAAGGTGATTAGCAAAGGGTTGAGCCTTGTAAAATAGCTCCAAGTAGATTTTCAAAATAGATTTGGAAGCTCATAAACACGTCTTTAAAAAAAATTTTTTTTTTAAATTAAGTTTTAGAGAGAGGAACGGAAAGGTAGAGAGAGAGAAAGAGAGAGAAGCATGGATGTGAGAGAGCAACATCCATCAGCCACCTCCTGCACGCCCCCTACCAGGGATCGAGCTTACAACCTGGGCATGTGCCCCCACCAAAATTGAACCAGCAACCTTTTGGTGCACGAGTCGATGCCTGAGCTATACACCAGCCAGGTCATACACACTTGTGTTTGCATTACTTTTACATCCTGACACAGTGGCTAGCATACGGTAGTAAAAAAAGTAGAAACTCAAGGAATCATCATCATCATCATCATCATCATCAGTATGAGTATATTATAGGGGGTGGAGAATAAAACCCAGAGAACTATATCTCAAACCTATAAATAGTTATACGTGGGTGGCAAGACTGTAGTGATTATTTTTCTTTTGACCATTTTTTTTTAGTGGAAAAAAACAATAACCACATAACATAAAATTTACCACCTTTTAAAGTGAACAGTCCAACCTTGCAGTGAAACAGCTTTGCAGAACTTTCTCACCTTGCAAAACTGAAACTCTGTGTCCATTAAACAATTCCCCATTTCCCCTCCAGTTCCTACCCTGTTTCCCCAAAAATAAGACAGTGTCTTATATTAATTTTTGCTCCCAAAGATGAGCTAGGTCTTATTTTCAGGGGATGTCTTATTTTTCCATGCGCTAGGTCTTATTTTCGGAGGATGTCTTATTTTCGGGGAAGCATGGTAGTAACCTCCACTCTACCTCCTCTTTCTATGAACTTGACTTTAATCTTCATGTTAGTGGAACCATATAGTATTTGTCTTTGTGTGACTGGCTTATTTCAATTAGCATAACGTTGTCACTATCCATCCATGTCATAATATGTGAGGGATTTCCTTCCTCTTTAAGGTTCAATATTGCATTATGTGTATATTCCATTATGTGTGTTATTCTTTCATCCATGGATAGATTTTTTTTTCCATCATGTGAATTTTCTTGTTTTAACAATGAGAATGTGTCACATTTTTTTAAAGAAAAATTTTTCTAATGAGCTAGTAGATTTTCTGATGAAACTTCATTCTTCTCGTAGACCTACACTGAGAACTACTGAGTCAAGCACAAAGTAACACTTTAAGGAATCAAGTTGAATGAACGCATTCTGGCCAAATTAGGAAAACAGCTATGTTCATCCCTTCACAGGCTGTCCAGGAGTGCTTCTAGACTACAAAAGCAACACAGACGGAATGGCCTACAAACCCTAAAGGTATTTACTGCCTGGCCTTTGCAGAAAGCTTGTTGGCCTTTGTTTTAGATACCATTCCCTCCACTCATCACAGGCCAGGCCAGGGAATTCCCATGCAGCCAGAGACAACTGGCCAGTGAGGGACTGCAGCTGAAGCAACGGGTTGGCTTTCCCTTCGTGCAAAAGCATTCTGTGCCCTAGCCAGGTTTGCTCAGACTGCGGACCAAAGGGTCCTGGGTTCAATTCCAGTCGAGGGCACCGACGTTGGTTGCAGGCTCCTCCCCAGCCCGGACCCTGGTTGGGGCTCATACAGGAAGCAACCAATTGATGTGTTTCTCTCACATCAGATGTTTGTGCCTTTCCCTCTCTCTTTCAATCTCCCTGAAATTCGATTGAAAAATATCCTCAGGTGAGGATTAACAACAAAAAAGCATTCTGCGAACAGAGCCAGGGCCGTATTTGCAGGTTTGCACCGCCTGCAGGCTGAAGGGTCGCAGGTTCGATTCTGGTCAAGGGCACATGCCTGTGTTGTGGGAGGTGGCCGATCAATAATTCTCTCTCATCATTAATATTTCTATCTCTCTCTCCCTCTCCCATCCTCTCTAAAATCAATAACAATATATATATTTTTAATAAAAGTAATTCTGCTTCTGAGTATTTACTTCAGGGAAGATAGATACAAGGATGTTTACTTGTCACTCATGTAAATAGTGAGGAAGTGAAAACAACTTCCATGGTCTTTTAATGAGAAAATGATTAAATTATGCTGTATCCAGATAACATCATTTGATTGAAAAGAGGTACAGGCACATCTTGTTGTGTTTCTATGCTTCACTTTAAAAAACACTTTTATTGATTTCAGAAGGAAGGGAGAGGGAGAGAGTAATGGAAACATCAATGATGAGAGGGAATCAGTGATCAGCCGCCTCCTTCACACCCAACACTGGGGATCAAGCCTGCAACCTGGCCATGTGCCCTGACTGGGAATCGAACTGTAACGTCCTGGTTCATAGGTTGACGTTCAACCACTGAGCCACACTGGCTGGGCAATAAAAAAATATATATATTTTGTAAAAATACACTTAACTAATAATGAGGTGTCATGACACTAATAAAAACAACGACAGTCTTCATGGAGCATGTACTATGTAGCGGGCACTCTTCCGGACACTTTTTACCTACATTAACTCATTAAATTCTGATGGGATGCTAATTTTATTTTGTCAGATAAAGGAACTGAGGGACATAAAGATTAGGTAATAAGTTCAAGGTCACACCTGCATTGAGCTTTAGTCCTAGGATTTAAGTCCCGACAGCCTGGCTGGCGTGGAGAAGGAGGATAGAGAAGTGTCGAAAAGGAACTTCTGCTTGACTGAAGTTATTTGCATTTTTGACAAGGAGAATGCTTTCTGACATGAGAATGCTTTTGTTAAAAGAATGAACTGCCGAGACTGGTTTGGCTCAATGGATAGAGCGTCGGCTTGGGGACTGAAAGGTCTCGGGTTCGATTCCGGTCAAGGGCATGTACCTTGGTTGCGGGCATATCCCCAGTAGGGGGTGTGCAAGAGGCAGCTGGTCGATGACTCTCTCTCATCGATGTTTCTGGCTCTCTATCTCTCTCCCTTCCTCTCTGTACAAAATCAATAAAATATATTAAAAAAAAAAAAAAATGAACTCATGCTTCCAAAAGAAGGGTGGGGGGCAAGCAAAGCCAGAGAGGGAAGGTGGCCTTACCGTTGTCTACAGCTATAATGAGGGCCGTGTATGTGTTGTTCTTCACATGCTCCGTGTCCTCTCTGTCCATCTCAGCCCGAGTGGAAATGACACCAGTGTCCGGATTAACCTCCAGCCAGTTGGCAGCATCCCGCCAAATCCGATACCTGGAAAGGCACAAGCTCTGGCTTAGAATTCTAAAGTTCCTCTTTGTTGGTCAGTTCCAACTTCTCTACAATTTTGACTTCTACCTTTTCTTTAAAATATCATACCTATACAAAAGTTGCCAAGAAAAGTTGATAAGCTTCCAGGTACCCTTCACTTAGATTCACCCGTTGTTAATATTTTGCTATATACAAAAGCTGACACACATTTACATTATGTCTTGTTTTGCTGAACTCACAAGAATACATTGCAGGTATGATGTTCCTTAACACACTGAAATATTTATGAGTGATCATCTCCAAAGAACAAAGACAAACTCTTATATAACCAACAATGTAATTGTCAATTTCAGAAAATATAACCTTTGATAAAATACTATTAATAAAAATATGGTACACATTCAAATTGTCAATTTCCCCCAAATGGTCCTCATACTACACAGGTGATGGATGGTGTGTCCTCGGTGCATCTCATTAGGAGGTACATGGCGTCTGTTTGTCCTTTTATTGATGTTCTCTTTGATCACTTGGATAAAGGAGGGGCTAACAGGCTTCTTCACAGTAAAGGCAAATGTTTCCTCTTTGCAATTATATTATACTCTGGGGGCAGATAATCTGGGAATATCCTGTTCAACTAACTTTCCTCCCATAGATTTAGCAACTGTGGATAATTCTTGCCTGAATAATGAGTTCTATGATCCTTATGTATTTTTCAAAGCAAACTCTTTCAGAGTTTGGCATCACTCAGCATCCCCGCCATTAGCACTTGGAGATTTGGTGACTTGGGGATGGGTTGCTATAGTGGCATTAAAAAATATATATTAAAAAAATAATAAAAAATAATAATAATAATAAAATATATATATATATATATATGTATATATATATATATATATATGTATATATATCTCTCGATATATTATTGATTTCAGAGAGGAAGGGGGAGAGAAAGAGAAACATCGATGAGAGAGGATCACTGATTGGTTGTCTCCTGTATGCCCTCTACTGAGGACTGAGCCCTCAACCCAGGAATGTGCCCTGACCGGGAATCGAACCACAATCTCTTGGTTCATATGTTGATGTTCAACCACTGAGCCAAGCTGGACGGGCTATAGTGGCATTTAATGGTAGGTGTGAAACAGGCTAAAACTTCTTATGGTTATGCAGAGCAAAAAAAACATGCTTTATTCAAAATGTCAAGTGAGTTCTTTCCATCATCTTTCCATGCCTCCATAAGGGTGCACATGAATATTCTGGCTGATTCTCAAAAATCAGCAATGCTTCATAGGCAAATGTGAAATTATTGATGCTCACAGAGCTGGGGAAATTGCTGTGAACCTCATAGGCAGTTCAAACAAGTGCGGTGTAATCAGCCCCCGATTTGATAAGCAACACAAAGATCCTGCTCCCCTCCCATCAGTTCTGTTTCATTGTGCTGACAACTCCAGCAGGCACTGCACCATGAAGAAGCAAGACAAAAACACACAGGAGGGAGAATCTGGGCTTCTTTTTTTAGGGATGTAATACATACATGCAAATAAAATTCCTCAATGCGTTACAATTACAAAAAGGGGGGGGGGGCAAAAACCAAGAGAACACTGTTAAGCAACACCTATTAGGAGTACAAAAGCCAATCTATCAGAGGACACAAAGGCGTGAAAAACAGGAAATAGTGCTCAGTTATTCATGGGGGTCGTGGAAAGACACAGAAAAGCAAGCAAAGAAACCTGGGAGGTAAGAGCCTTGGATACCTATGGGCTCATCCCCACTTCCTTAGACGTGCAAAGCAATGAACTCCACAGAGCGGTCTTTATCCGGGGGTAAGGGCCGCTACACAAACTATCAAGGCTTGACCCCTGACCCAAGGGAGGCTTTGATCTACCTGTTTCACTATTGCAAGCTAAGGTTACAACCCTGGAACAACGTTATCTTTTTTACTATCCTTTTGAAGTTTGATTAAAAACGCATATTTTTTTTTATTTTTTTTTTATTTTTTTGGCATGGCTCAGTGGCTGAGCATTGAACTGTGAACCAGGAGGTCACGGTTCAATTCCCAGTCAGGGCACATGCCTAGGTTGCAGGCTCCATCCCCGATGGGGGGCGAGCAGGATGGTAGCCAATCAATGATTCTCTTTCTTTAAAAAAAAAAAAAAAAAAAAGTAAATTCTTTGTTTAAAGTATTACAAATGACTCTTTTCCCCCTTTGACCTCTCCCCAGTCACCCCCACGCCCCAGCACATGCTGTCGAATCCCACCAAGTGGCACATCAAGGCGAGTTGTCACTGCTTTTTTAGTAAATGTTAAAATTAATCAAAGAGGTGGGTGTTATCAGCCCGGGTTCCCATCGTCCTTGAGCTAATGATGCTCACAGCCACTAAGGTCACTGACCGGACCCTCCACACAGCTCATCCTGTGCAAGGCGCACACGGTTTAATGGTATGTACCAGCCCTCTCATTCAGGATAGAAGTAACACTTCCGGAAAAACCTCAGAAGTTGAAGTCACACTTAAGCTCTTTCCGTCTGCTTCTTTTAAGTTTCATAAGTCACATGCCTGGAGGCTAAAACACCATCCACAACAATATCGCACTCAATTACCAAAAAGACTGGACTCTCCTCTGGATTTTTAATTTATTTTTTTTAATTTATTTTAAATTTATTTTTCAAATATATTTTTATTGATTTCAGAGGAGAAGAGAGAGGTCAGTGATGAGAGAGAATCATTGATTGGCTGCCTTCTGCATGTCCCACACTGGAGATTGAGCCTGCAGCCTATGCATGTGCCCTTGACTGGGAATTGAACTGTGACCTCCTGGTTCATAGGTCGACACTCAACCACTAAACCATGCTGGCTGGGCTTGCATAACATTTTTATAAATAGTTCAGAGGTCCTTGCCAAAACCGGTTTGGCTCAGTGGCAGAGCGTCGGTCTGTGGACTGAAAGGTCCCAGGTTCGATTCCGGTCAAGGGCATGTACATTGGTTGCGGGCACATTCCCAGTGGGGGGTGTGCAAGAGGCAGCTGGTCGATGGTTCTCATTCATCGACGTTTCTAGCTCTCTATCTCTCTCCCTTCCTCTCTGTAAAAAATCAATAAAATATATTTTTTTAAAAATAGTTCAGAGGTCCTGACAGATTCCTTTAAAGTAGGTATTAACAAGTAGAAATCTAGCTCTCTGAGCAGAGGAGAGGCCTCCATTACCCCTGGAAACCACACTTACAAGACACATGTTTGTCATGTTTGGGCTTGTGCTGTAATAGTTTTTCCTGGTCAAACCCAGCTCTCAAAAGCCTAGAACACTGTTGCTGTTGGTTTGTGCGTCTTTTCAGTATCTGCGGCTGTAATTTATACCAAAGAGGTGCTTTCCAGTTTAAAGAGGACAACAAACTACTTATAGGCAATACCACGTATGTACATTAAAACCACATTCCTACTATACTACATGAACTCGAAGAGAGGAAGCACAGTAATCCTAGAATGGCTAGCTATAAAGGGAAGGGGGAAAGGTGTGGGGAATGGAGGTAAAAAGGAAATTTTAAAAAAATTAAGAGAAGGGTCTTGCACAGACCAATGATGATAACATGTTATAAATTAAGTACTTTATATACATACATCCAGTTGGTTCCAAGTCAATTGAAAAACCCACACTTACGTTATTCTCTGGTCCATGAACTTGTCCGGATCCTGGGCGGTGTAAGATGTGATTTCCTGTCCCACTGGGAAGTCTTCGGACACCTCCAGTCTCTTTTGGGGAGGCATGAAGATGGGGGCCTCATTTACATCCAACACATCCACTGTGACGGTGGCTGTGGAAGTAGACAGAGTGACTTCAAAGTCGATCTTATTCTTCACTGACACGTAGAGAATGTACTGCTGCTTGGTCTCAAAATCTAAGCCCTAAAAAAAAAAAAAAAAAAAAAGTTTAAAAAATGTTATATTAGTAGAAAACAACAATAACACTTAACTATTGCTTTTGGTTAGCAACGTACCAGTGATCCTCAACTCTGGCTACATTCGAGTTGGACACACACACACACACACACACACACACACGCACACACCTGTCCCTCCTCCCCCGAAGGAGAAGAAAGATGAACTCATGAAATCTCAAACAGCAAGCTTCAGTTAACACTGGCACGTTAACTCAACGTTAACGTTGAGGAGTGAGAACGCTCATATCCTGTCTGACATGCTGTCCATGCGATAGCAGACGGACAGAAGATGCTGTGTGACTTGGGGAACTTAACCTCTAGGCCTGTTTCTACACCTAAGAAAGCAGGGAAAGGAACTACCTCACCTTTAATAATTTTAAAAATCACTCATGCCCAGCCAGCATGGCTCAGTGATTGAGTGTCGACCCATGCACCAAGAGATTGCCTGTTCAATTCCCGGTCAGGGCACATGCCCAGGTTGGAGGCTGGATCCCAGAGAGAAGCACGTGGGAGGCAGCCAGATGATGTTGATGTTTTCTCTCTCATCGATGCTTCTCTCTCTCTCTCTCCCCCTTTCCCTTCTTCTTTTTCTAAAATCAACTTTAAAAAAAAATCACTCCACTTCTTATTTTCAAGTTCCCAAGACATCTTTCAATCACAATCATATCTGACCCACTTGTAAAATAATTCAGGAAAATAGCAGGGACCAATAGCCCATTTTTGCTCTCATCTGCAAAATGGATATGGACGGCAGGCAAATGCCTCAAGGGAAGAGCCTATCAACATGGATGGTACTTCCTCTTCAATTTTAGGATGCTGGGTAGCAGCTTCCCGACTTCCCACAGGAGCCTGAAGAGTCACTGCAAATCCCAAATGGCCCACAGAAACTGGGAAAGCCAGCCACCTCTATCCCCCCCCCCCCCCCCGCCCCCGAATATCATGCTAATTTACTGAGAGGACAACAGGGACCAGGGAGTCAGCAGCTAGCTGGGCTGTCCGTTTCGGCATCTTGCCAAGCACCACACAAACCTTCTTCGTTTTCAAGATGCCATCGTTGGTTTCTGGGTCTGTTTCGACAACAAACTGGTCCTTGTCATTTAATACAGTGTACTCGGCCTCCCACGCAGGGGTTCTGGGGAGGTCAGCATCGGTCACTTTGAGCGTAGCGATCACGGCATCAGCCTCATTCTCATAAACATGCCCCTGGTACTGCAGAGCAAAGGAAAAGCGAGTCACCTAGGACGTCCTGAGACACGATAGTGAAACCAGGTCTCAGGGGCTAAGGGAATGCTCACAGGAAGTGGCCACCCAACCAGAAGAGCTCTGTTACTAACCATTGAGCTGATTTCTAATCAATACAATAAGATTTCCTGTCGGTGGGTCAGGTAGCTCTTGGGAGAACCTAGAGTACTTCCCAAGGCCCTGGCTACCCGGGCCTCTCCGCACACTCTGGCTCAGGTGTTGAGTTAAGAATTCTAAAACTCTAGCCCTGACCGGTTTGGCTCAGTGGATAGAGCGTTGGCCTGCAGACTGAATGGTCCCGGGTTTGATTCCAGTCAAGGGCATGTACCTTGGTTGCGGGCACATCCCCAGTGGGGGTAGTGCAGGAGGCAGCTGATTGATGTTTCTAACTCTCTATCCCTTTCCCTTCCTCTCTGTTAAAAAAAAAAAAAAAAAAAAAAATCAATAAAATATATATTTTTTAAAAATTCTAAAACTCTAAACCAGTGGTCCTCAACCTTTCTAATGCCTTGACCCTTTAACACAGTTCCTCATGTTGTGGTGACCCCCATCCATAAAATTATTTTCATTGCTACCTCAGAACCGTAATTTTGCTACTGTTAAAGAATCATAATGTAAATATCTGTGTTTTCCGATGGTCTTAGGCGACCCTGCTAGCGGTTCTCAACCTGTGGGTCATGACCCTAACCACTAGCAGAGTCTCCTAAGACCATTGGAAAACACAGATATTTACATTACGACTCATTAACAGTAGCAAAATTACAGTTCTGAAGTAGCAACGAAAATAATTTTATGGATGGGGGTCACGGTCACCACAACATGAGGAAGTGTATTAAAGGGTTGAGGCATTAGGAAGATTGAGAACCACGGCTCTAAACTTAGTCTACAAGGTCCTGCAGGACCTACTTCATTTGGTTCTCTACACTGTTTTTCAGTTCTATGCATCAAGCTCTCTCTTGGGTTAGGGCAGATCCTTCTGCATGGAGCACTTCCATCCTTCCGTGTCCCACACATTTGCCAACCTCCTTTCAGGTCTTAGTACAAACGTTACTCACGGGCACAATGTCTAGGTGAGGGTGGCAGACACGGCTAATTGCCGACTGAATATCCAGTCTCCCCTTCTTCACTTACGGTATTGTTGGAGGCAGCAATGTTCCCAAATAAGATACTCTATTTCCGGTCTTCCTTTGCAGATAGCAGTTGTGAATGAGGTGTAAACAAACTTTGTGGGAAGGGTCTTCCCAGAAATAATTGGACTTAACTTAGCAGCAATGGCTTTTGCACGCCTTGCCCTTGCCTCCCTCCAGGGCCACAAGGAAACACTGAGGATAGAAGCCATGCCCCAAAACAATGCAGGCTTGGTCTCTATTGACAGGGTGGACTATCCACCTCTGGAGTTTTTTTGGACACCCGAGAAAACGTCAACCCTATTTGTTTAAATCCCAAGAGTCTAGGCTCTGTTACTAACCATTGAACTGATTTCTAATCAATACAATAAGATTTAAGGTTCTTTTGTGGGGCGTAGTCCCTTCTCCTGGACCACATCCTATCCTATATAACAAAAGCCTAATATGCAAATCAACTGAACAGCGGAATGACCAGTGGAACGACTGGTTGCTATGGCGTGCCCTGACCATCAGGGGGCAGGCACTCAAAACAGAAACTGTCCCCAGCCCGCAGGTCCCAGGCCAGCCAAGCCAGGTGTCAATGGCCTCCCTGAAACCCCCCCTCCCCTCAAAAAAAAAAAATCGCCCTGCTAGTTGCCCCACAGATCAACCCTGATCATCAGCCAGGCCTAAAAATCCTACCCATGCACCAATTTCATGCATTGGGCCTCTAGTTTAATATAATTGCACACAATTATCCGTTTAAGCTGTCTAACATCTAGATAAGACTATCCACTTCATGAAAACGGCATCTTGGCCTTGTTGGTGATAACATCACCAGTGTCTAACATAGTGCCTGGTATTAACTCAGAAAACGTTTGTTCAGTGAATAACTAGAACCTGGTAAGATTTTCTACCAAGATACACAATACGAGGACATAGATGCTTTTTGCCACGTCACAAAATTCTGCTAATAGGCACCAGATAAAGACAACAGCCACCCCAACCTGCTTGCTTCTAAGTTTAAAGCTCACTAGTCTGGGGAAAGTTTCCCAGGGCTTCACTCAGGAGCAGTTGTAAAGCAACAAAGGACCTTTCCTTAGAAACCATCAAGGAGCTGCAGAATTACCGTGGTTGGGTCAAAAATAGGAGGGTTGTCGTTGATGTCAAGGACTGTGATCACAGCTTTTGCAGTTGTTGTTAAGCCTTCCCCTTGAAGGTCAGCAGCTTCAATCACCAGAGAGTAGTTAGGGAACTTCTGCAGAGAGATTGAGTACACTCAAGTTAGGAACAACAGCCACATTAGCTCAGCCCATAGCATAGACACAGGAATTTTATCATCTGCGTACATGCCGGCATGCCGGCCTACCGGACTGTCTGCTAGGCACACAACCTCTGCACACGTGTAGATGCAAAGCTCAGACCATGACCACATAGGTGGTAATTGGCCTCCGCAGAGTTTTGCGTTGTCCATGGATGTAGCTAATGTGCACTTGCCCACAACACCCTCTGGATCTCTTCCCTGCTGACCTCACGGTCCAGCCCGGTAGTGAGCACACTGATGACTCCTGTGTCCCTGTTGATGGTGAACATTTGCTCATGAGGCTCTTTAGGCTCTTGGCTGATGATTTTGTAAGCGATGGCAGCATTGTAGGTGTTCACTTCGTCGTCCGCGTCTGTGGCTGAGACCTCCATCACGGAGGTTCCTGGAAGCATCAAAGGAGAGGAAGACAGTCAAGCTGCACTCCAGGGTCTGGGTGGTACTGTTCAACTCAATTCTGTCCAGAGCATTAAAAGTGAGAGCCCGGGGACACACTGTGTCCCAGAGCTTCTGATGGCTAATTTCCAAATTTCTTACCAAAGTGCTACCAGAGGAAGAAAGCCTTCCCCACCTGAGCGGTGTTCCAAGCACTCAGTCTTTCCAGCAAATATTTTGGGTGGGGGTGGATGTGAGGAGGAGGAGATGGGGAAAGGGTGAGGGTTAAACTAAAGCATTTTGCCATGTCTCTTATACTGAGTGAATAGCCTGAAAAATAGGAAGAAGTCTCAAGACTTCCTCAACTGTCTTCTCGGCCACAGCTTCACCTGAGAGAATGGGTCCTTTGAGATCATTGCCTTCAAGGTGGGAGAAAATATTTATAATACAAGGGACTGATAGGACAAGCTCTAGGACATCTAAATAACTCTAAGAGTTAGTAGGAAAAAGACAAATAGCCCAAGGGAATAAAAGGCCAAACGACTTGAATAGACAAGTCGTCAAGGAGAAACTCAAGCCTGTCTGGTATGGCTCAGTGGCTGAGCATAGTCCCAGGAACCAAGAGGTCGCCGGTTCAATTCCTGTTCCCGACACATGCTGGAGTTGGGGCTCGGTCCCCACTGCGGGGTGTTGCAGGAGGCAGCTAATTGATGATGCTTCTCTCTCATCAATGCTTTTATCTCTCGATCCCTCTCCCTTTTTTTCTCTCTAAAAAAAGATCAATAAAAACATTTTAAAAAAGAAGAAACTCAAATGGCCAACAAACATATAAGATGCTTAGTCTGTTAATAATCAGAGAAATGCACTTTTAAATTGTACTGAGAAATCATTACACATTGACTAAAGCTAAAAAGTCTAATAATTCCAGGATATACATTGCTGACGGAAGAGCAAATTGGTTTGACCGCATCGGAAAACAGTTTATCACCATGTAAAAAAGTAGGCAAAACTAACAAGATTATATCTAGGGGCAAAAACACACAATGTAGAAGACAAATTTAAAAAAAAAAAAAAAAAAAAAAAAAAAAAAAAAAAGGGAGGGCAGTGTCTATCTCTAAGGGAAGGAGAAAAAAATGTGATCAGGAAAATTGTATGAGGGGTTCATACTACTGCTTAGTGAAGGAAGGTTGTGTTTAAATCCCTCTGATTTTAAACACATTTTTGCAGGTAGAGTGCTACATGCATGCACACGAACAGGGCACACATACACACACACACAGTGGCTTTCACTGAAATTCTGTCCACAAGAAGGTCCTGACCCCAAACGCCAACTCCAACACACTGGGGTCCAAAGGACCTCAGCATCTTTCTGGGTGTTTGGCTCCTCTTACCTGGGAGAGCACCTTCCCTGACAGACCCCTCAAAGACCGCCTGGGTGAACTCGGGCCTGTTGTCGTTCTGATCTGTCACCGTGATCACAATCTCCATCGGATCCTCAATGGCTTCCCCGTTTGAAGACACGGCGTGAGATAAGAGCTGCAAGAGCCAAGGGAGGGTTACTTGGGCCCCAAGGAGAAAAGAAGTGGGAGAAGGGGCCTGTCCAGAGAGTGGGCTCCACCTGGAGTCCCCTCCTTCAGGCTCTCTGAGACCCGAGGGCATGGACACCTGCAGCTGAGCCCTTTTCTCACCCCCGTGCTGATGCTCCAATGAGGTCAGCACACTGGCTGAGAGCACAACACGTGAAGACCTGAGGCCTGGAGAACACACCCCACCAGGTCAGAGCTCCCATTCCCTACAAGAGGGCTGGGGAGCCATGCCCGGGAGATAACGGTGGAACCTTAACGCTCTGACTTCTTCCAAGCAGGGCAAAATTAGCCCTGGCCACTCCAGTCTAGTGTGTCCTCCTGATTTTTCTGCATTTGGCCTCAATACATTACTTCCCAGCCTCCGTAAGCTCACTCTGCTACGGGCCCCAGAAATGGTTTTTGCTCTCCGAACATCATCACTTTCAGCTCCAGGAAGCTGATATCTTGGGTCCAAAGGGAAGCATGATGCGCAAGGACTCTCCCCGCTGTATTCCTAACAACAAAAGTAATTTAAAAGCCCCCCTATCCAGGTTCTCCTGTCATTTCTCTTTACCAATAGGTCTCCAAGTGGCAAATGAAGCCCCTCATATGTTCACCATCTCGAATCCAGGGATCCAGATCAGTTGACCAAACAATTTTGGGAAGATGGGACCCCCATCACTAATAAGCGTCTCAGCGATACTCACTGTGTACTTGGCAATTGCTTCTCTATCCAGAGGCTGCGTCACCTTTAGCCATCCTGTCTCTCTTTCAATAATAAACACACCAACAGGGGGCGTGTCAGCTCCTTGGCCAGTGATGCTGTAGAAAACCTGTGTCTCTTTGTCTTTGTTAGATTTGATCTGGAGACAAAACAGACACAGAATTAGCAAGGGAGGAATTCTTACATTCGGTCTTTCCTCCTTCCTCTCCTTGGTCCTTCTCTGCCAGATTCCTCCCAAAGAAATAGAGAGCATTCTTCTCTACCTGGACCAGATTCTTAGGAAACGGGCCTTTCTCGTTTTCTGGGCAGGAGATGGGAGGGATAACCCAGTCCCTCTTCTGTCTTCTGAGACCGTGGTGGGAGTCGGGAAATGTGAGCACTTCCGTCCGGGCTTCAGGGAGAGCGTCCTAAAAGGAAAAGAGATGAAGAACATTAATGAGATAATTCATGAGAAATCATGCCGGCCGAAGAGTCCAATCTATCCAGTCAGCATTTCCATCCTTGTGGGGGCAGCAAGTGATTTTAAGTGAATAACAAAATTAACAGCCAAAACAAAAGACAACGAACCACCTAGCCATAATAAAGTGTTCTCTTCTGATCTTCCTTAGTGTCCAGAGTTCCAAGTAACCATTATACATGCACAATGATAGGTTTAGTGTTATTTTGTAAGTATTTTAAGCCTACAATGTCACACTTGTTATGGTTTTTAAATTTTATTTTTCCATTCCAGCTTACATTCCATATTATTTTGTATTAGTTTGAGGTGTACAGCATAGTGGTAATAGAACAGTATATCCTATGATTTTTGTATCAGAGCTTTTAAACAACTGGATATCCTGGTGTTTTAATTTCTTTTCCTTTATATATATTTTTTTCCCTAGGGTTATAGGTCCCCAAATAGAGTTATCAGCCAAAATCAGTAAGTTTTGGGAGCTGGTACTACGAACTACTTTGTGATCAAAAAAACCTTTGCTCTTGTGGTGTCATTATATCTTTAAGGTGTCCATTTGTTCGAACGGAAGCTGTGGGATGAGAACCAAAAATGTCCTTTGAGACTTGTATTAAGTAGTTTTCATGGGTGATAATGATAACGTTATGCACACACAGGGAAATAAGATAGTTGATGATGGAAGGGAAAACACTCTTCCAAATTGTCTAAGTGTTTCAAAGTGATTAGTGGTAACACAGTCAAAGTTCCAGAGGATGATCCCATCCCCCGCCATCGATAAAGCCACTGGTCACTGTTTGCCCAGTGAGATTCAAGCCCTAGTTTCTGGTGGTTTTTTTATTTTATTTTAATTTGACTAAAAATGCACAAGACAAATATGAGATGTGACCAGATATCACCACAAAATCCTTCCCAATTCTGCATATTTCACACACACACACACACACACACACACACACACACACACACACACACAGCATCTTCATCCTCAAATTCACACGCACCAGGTCTCTAGTATAAATATAAGACCTATCCTTTTTTAAAAAATCTATTCTTACATGAATTAAGAAAGAGGTTAAAAAAAAGAGAAAGAGCCCTAACCAGTTTGGCTCAGTGGATAGAGCGTCAGCCTGCGGACTGAAGGGTCCCAGGTTCAATTCTGGTCAAGGGCATGTACCTTGGTTGCACATACCCAGTAGGGAGTGTGCAGGAGGCAGATGATGGATGTTTCTCTCTCATGTCACCCATTATCCTAGTGAAAAACCACTTGGCTCTATAAGAATCCCTTGAACTAGAGACAAAGCAAAGTGAACTCCAAACCAGTTATGACAGAGTTGCCACCTACCACTCAATAGCCTCCTTTAGTTTCTTACTCAAAAACAAGCAAACAAAAAACCTATCTACCTATCTATCTATCTATCTATCTATCTAAATTTTATATCCAGCAATTTACCCAAGTGAAATACTATATTTCCTATACTACTTTTGCTGCTATGGGTGGCCATGAGCCAAGTTATAGCCAATGAGATATAAGCAGAAGTGTTGCTTGAGAATTCCACAAAGGCTTCTTAAGGAAGCAGCCAGACAAGTAAGCGATGCATCTTGGTGCCTCCTCCCTTTCTTCTTGTCACCTGCAATAAAGCTGTGACTGCTGGAGCTCTGGCAGCCCTCTTGGATCATGAGGTGTCCTTGAGGCTGAAGCCATGGACTGTGGATGACAGAACAGAAAGGACCTGGGCTCTGGATGGCTGTGGGCTCTCCACACCGGCCACAACTTACTCTTAACTTCGATTTCCTTCACTTGAAAGAGAAATACTGTATTTTGCATGAGCCACTGTGATTTGTGTTTTTCTATAACATGTATTTGAACCTAGTCACAATCAGCTGGCGTGGAGGCAGAGGCAAAGTTGGCAAAGGAGGGGAGGAAAAGTTGGGGGGGGGGGGGAAACCAACAAGTGCAAAACTGTCTTTGGTCATAAGAGGCATAGCTGCCCAGCAAGCACCCACCGTGCTGAACTTACAAGAATGACAGAGTCCATTGAGGACTTGAGTCAGGAACCTATGTTAATATAACTGCTAAGTTCCTCATTTTTCTGGTTGGTCCAATTACACCAGGATGATAAATTTCAATCTGTCTGGACTATTAAGTTCTCTGAATTTCAGGAGTCTTTGGAGAGAAAAACAGGAGCTAGCTGGAAAGGGCCTTGGCATGTAGAACCCGGTCCACACTTCCAGGGAAGTAGCAGAATGCAACTAGAATGCTCCCCAGAGAGACGTTTTGGTAGGAAGCACCATGGGAGCACTTTAGAAACTGGTAAAGGCATTTGGCTTTGGTTAACAATCCCCAGAAACTCTTTTGCCAAGGACTTAGACAGGCATACGTCCTTCCATTCATGGCTGGTCCACTGAATGGTTACTGGCCTCCTGGTATGTGCCAGACGAAGGGCCAGGCCCTGCCATATCATGGGGAAGGATCTTGTGTAGATTACAGCCCAATGAGGCAAAAGCTTCCCACTGACTCTTCCCTGGCTTTGCCAAGACCCTCTCCATTAGGAACACAAAGAGCCAATGATCGGAATATTGACCTCTTACTCATTCTTCCTCCAGGAAAGGAGTGATAAGGACAGTTCACAATTACTGGGTACTTATCATATGCCGAGCATGGTTCTAGCATTTCACGTGTATTAACCCATGCTGTCATTATCATCTCCATTTTACCGATAAGGACATTCAAGCACTGACAATACCTTCCATGTTTACTCAGGTAGTAAATTCAATCCCAGACAGAGTCCATGCGCTTACCCACACTATTCTACTCAACCTGCTGAAATAAAGATAATGGCATCTTGCCACCATTCCACATGATCCCCCTCTACACACACACACACACACACACACACACACACACACAAAAGGAAGAAGAAGGAAAAAAAAAAAATTAGTTTAGTTAGACCAGTAGTCGGCAAACTGCACCTTGCAAGCCACATGCGGCTCTTTGGCCCCTTGAGTGTGGCTCTTCCACAAAATACCACGTGCAGGTTTGCACATACAGTGTGATTGAAATGTCCAGAAGCCGGTTTTCGGCTCTCAAAAGAAATTTCAATCGTTGTACTGTTGATATTTGGCTCTGCTGACTAATGAGTTTGCCAACCACTGAGTTAGACCGATGGTTCTCAACTGGGGACTATTTTGTTCCCCAGGGGACCCTGGCAATGTCTGGAGACATTTTGGTTGTCACCACGAGGGGGTGCAATTAGCAACTAATGGGTGAAGACATGGGATGCTGCATAACAAAAGATTACCCAGCCCCACATCTGCACGGTGCCAAGTAGAGAACCCCGCATTAAGAAGCAGGCTAAAATAACAGTGAACGTTTAAGAAACACTGCAACATACATGATGGTGGTGGTGTTGGTGGTGCTGGTGGTGGTGGTGTTGACGGTGGTCGTGCACAGCTGCCTTCAGTGTCACTTTCGTGGAGAGCTTCTTGCGGGCGGAGTCCCAGGCAGAAACATGAAAACTCATCTCTGGATTATGTAGCTGCAAAGGCCGTTTGACAATCAGCATCCCATCCGTGCCCACTCTGAATCTGGTGTCATCAGAGACATAGATGGTCCTCGGTTGGCCGGTGCATGCTTCAAAACTCACTGCAGGGTATAAATAACAGCGATTAAGGAATTGGGCAGATTAAAAACGAGCACATTCCTTCTCTAAAAAAAACAAACTGGACTCACTTACCAAAAGCCTAAGTCCCACAAATTAAGCACAATTGGCCGCCTCCTGCCCCCCTCCTACTGGGGATCAAACCTGATCACATTTTGAACGCAAAGGGACAATGCAAGTCAAAGGAGATTGTTATTTCTTTGCATAGGATACATACCTAGGTTTCAGGTAGGATTCCCGGTCAGGGTGTGTGCGGGAGGCAACCAATCTATGTTTTTTCCTCTCCTATCCATGTTTCTCTCTCCCTCTCAAATCAATAAACATATTGATCAGATTCCCACCAACTGTGAACAAGTCAGATAAGACACTTGCTCTCACTGAACTTATACTATTGTGGAGGAGATGGACAAAAATACGAACACCAAAGCCAAAAAAACTACAGATAGTGATGAATGCCCATGGCTCTAAAGGAATTCAAGAGGGTACTAACTATAAGAATGACAGCGGGCGGGGAGGTTTGGGGAAAGCACAACTTATATTGGATGGTGCGAGAAGACCTCTCTGACGTGGAGGCTTCTGAGCGGAGAGCTACAGGAACCAGCCTTGGAGAAAACACGGCTCAAGAGCCTTCAAGGCAGAGGGAACCGTAGATAAAACAGTTCATCCTGGGAAACTCAACTTGGCCTGTTTTCCTCCCACTCAGATAACTGCCCCTCCTTCCTCCAGTGGAATTTCTATTTTTGTCTAAGTGATCTTTTATTAAGTTCCTGCTTTTGTGCCTATTTTATGTAGCTCGACATCTCTTCACTCATGAGGACCAGGTCTCTGCCAGAAAGCCCCATAATCACCATGATGCCTAGAACTGCAGTTTTCACTTCCTCCACCAGGGGCCACCCTTGCCAATGTTTTTGAAGCCAACAGCCCCACCCTTGCCAGAGAAAATAAAACCATGGTTGTGGGTGGCAGGGCAAGTACCACGAGGAACCCTTGTTTTGAAGATGAAGAAACTGAGGCTCCGAGAGGTTAGGAAACTTACCTGACAGCCTATAACCACTTTCCAGTGGAGCTGGGACTAACCCTCAACATGTCTCATGGTTGGCACTCCCTCACCCTGGAGAGTACTGTTCGCTTGGGGCCTTAGCTGTTTTTGAAGGATGATTTTTGCCCCGTGGCCTAAAATCCAGAGCTGATAAAAATCTGCAGCCAACTCATGCAATAGTTGGCAGTCTACTACCTGGCAAATAATGCTGTAATAAATGACAGGAGGGGCGGGGGGGGGGGGGTGTCCGGTGACATGAAGAAAGGTCTGATTCTTGGCTGGATTATAAACCCAAGTTCTGCCATGTTCTTGCTGAGTGGCCTCAGTAAAATGCTTAACCTCTCTGCGCCTCGTTTTTTTCCACTAGACCATGAAGCATACATACCTCCACTTATCAAGCCTGCCTCTTTAGGGTTTTGTGGGAGATTAGCCAGGTGCCAGTGAATGTGAATCACATTTTGAATGCAAAGGGACAATGCAAGTCAAAGGAGGTTTTTATTTCTTTGCATACGAGCTAGAAGACAAGTATTTGCTAAACAGACAGATGAACCCTAAAATGACAACAGAAGCCAAGAAGAAAAACAGTCTTTTTTTTTTTTTTTTTTTTTTTTTAATAGTTTCTTTCAGGTATTTTACTGATTTTTAGAGAAAATGGAAAAAAGAAGGAGAGAAACATGGATGTGAGAGAAAAACATCGATTGGCTGCCTTCTGCACCACTGATTAAAAACGAGCACATTCCTTCTCCAGGGACCAAACCCGCAGACTGGGAATCGAACCAGCAAGCTTTTGGTGCATGGGGTAACACCCGACCAACTGAGCAACACCTTCAAGGCCAAAAAAAATGCAGTCTATCAAAGGATGGGCAGATACCTCCCTGTACGTCTAAAACAGAAATTACTTCTTAAACCAGCAAAACAAGATATTTTTCAAATAACCCTCCCCCAGGTCACTCCAACAGAAATCCTGGGGCACCTGGACTGTTTGGGGGCTTGTGCCATCACCAGGGAACAAGAGCTGCCTTGGTTTATCACATGGCGTTCCTTTAGCCAGCCAGCTCCGATCTGGTAGCGAAAGTTGGGACAAGCATGACTGGACTTGCCAAGGGTGGCGGCCTGAAAAAATGAAAATGGCTTTGCACATACCTTGATGCAAGGCATTTAACCTGCTCTGGGGCGTCTCGTCTTAATGGAGACGAAGCCCCACCCTTCGGGAAGTGACAGGAGAAGTGTGGCCACCAGGCAGCCCCAACCTGAATTTCCAGGTGCTCATTAAGGGTCATTACCTTTCCTGGCAACCTGATCCTCGAGGCTGATACACCCGAAATTATAGGACAGACCCAGGGGATCTCCAGATCTGGGGAGGCTCCGGGAAGCTTCCTTCACATCTGGCCGGGGCTGGCCAGTGAGGAGGAGCCACAGGGAATGCTAAGGCCAGCCTGTGGGAGAGGGAATAAGAATGGCAAACTGGCCGAAACCTGTTTGGCTCAGTGGGAGAGTGTCGGTCTGCGGACTGAAGGGTCCCTGGTTCGATTCTGGTCAAGGGCATGTACGTTGGCTGCGGGCACATCCCCAGTAGGGTGTGTGCAAGAGGCAGCCGATTGATGATTCTCTCTCATCGATGTTTCTAACTCTCTATCCCTGTCTTCCTCTCTGTAAAAAAAAAAAAATCAATAAAATATATTTTAAAAAAAAGAATGGCAAACTGCTGGAACAAGAGGATCAGTACATGGGAAGTGAATAGAATGAAACATGTTCAAAATAAAAAAGTTAAACGAAAATAAAGCCAGCAAGGAACTAACTGTTCTTTTCAGCCAGACATCCCCCGATTGGGGGTCCCGGACTGGAGAGGGTGCAATCCTTTCTTCCTCCTCCTTTCTTAAGCCGGTCAATTGGTCACTTGATCTAAAAAAAACAAATCCCAGTGACAAGAGCCAAGAACCCAATGGTCATCCCTTAATGGGAAGATCTTTTCACCACCATAACGTTAACACCATCAAAAACTACACCCTCAACAATCACTTCAACTATCTTTATTTAAGTAATTTTTTAATACATTTTGATTGATTTCAGAGAGGAAGGGAGAGGGAGAGATAGAGACACCAATGATTAGAGAAAATCATTGATTGGCTGCCTCCTGCATGCCTCTTAATGGGGATCAAGTCTGCAACCAAGGCCTGTGCCCTGACCAGGAATCGAACCTTCATCCCTGACTCATAGGATGAGGCTCAACCTCTGAGCCACACCAGCCAGGTAATTTTTAAATATTTTTAACATGTACAGAATATTGTGTCCAGCTCTATTCTCAGCACTTTGCTAATATTTATCCCAGAACTCCAGGAGATTGGCATTACCAATGTTACCTTTTCAAGATGGGAAAACTGAGGCAGTTTGTTAAGCAGTAGAGCAGGGATTGGAACCCAGACCGCCTGGGAGTTCATGACCCTAACCACTGTTCCTCATGCTCCTCTTTATTAGCCAGACTGACCCCTTGCGCTATGATCCTTATGTCCAATTTTCGGATTAAATTTCCCACCTCCTCAGCCTTTGCATAGACATCACTAGCTCCATTTCCTTTGCCCTAAATTATATGCTGGTGAGGGAAGGGGCTGGGCTGTCTTCACCTCTGTTCCTGTATGCAAAATGGGGTTACACTTTCCAGCAATAATGAAAAGGAATATTTAAGGCAAAGACATTCCAGGTCAGTATGGAATTCTACACACCAGGTGGTTAACAGTGGAGGCAGGTAGGGGAAGACTGGAAGAAGTGTGGTAGCAGCAGGGTTAGAAAGTAGTTTTCTTTTTGTTAAACATGTTTTCCTTGTACATCTTTATATTATATTAGAGGCTCGGTGCATGAATTTGTGCACCAGCGGGTGTCTTGGCCTGGCCTGTGCCCTCTCACAATCCAGGAACCCTCAGGGGACGTTGGAGAGCCGGCCAAGGGACCCCACCAGTGCACGATCAGGGCCAGGGAGGGACCATGGAAGGTCTACAGGGCATTTCAGGCCCACCTTGCCCAGTCCTGATCAGCTGGACCCCAGCAGCAAGTTAACTTACTGGTCAGAGCATCTGTCCCCTAGTGATCAGTGCATATCATAGCTACTAGTCAAATGGTTGAACAAATGGTTGGACACTTAGCAATTTGGGCTTTTATGATATAGGACTAGAGACCCAGTGCACAAAATTCATGCACAGGGGGTAGGGGAAGGGTCCCTCAGCCTGGCCTGCACCCTCTCCAACCCAGGATCCCCTCAGGGGATGTCCGACTGCCAAACGCTGGCTCCTAACCTGTCTGCCTTGATCGCCCCTAATTGCTCTCCCCTGCCAGCCTGATTGCCCCTAACCGCCTCTGCCCCAGCCTCTACCACAGTGGCTTTGTCCAGAAGGATGTCTGGAAGACATTTGGTCTAATTAGCATATTACTCTTTTATTAGTATAGATTGCATGTCACAATTACAACGAATTACTTTTTTAAAACAATAAAAATAAAAGTGACTTTTCTTGATTTTTATTGATTTCAGAGAGGAAGAGAGGTAGAAATATCAATGATGAGAGGGAATCATTGATTGGCTGCCTCCTGCACATCCTACACTGGAGATCGAGCCCATAACCCGGGCATGTGCCCTGACTGGGAATCGAGCCATGATCCCGTGGGGTTCAGAGATCAACACTCAACCACTGAGCCACACCGGCCGGACAAAATAACTTTTTTTTTTTTTTTTAATACATTGTGATTTTGTGTATTATTTATCCTGCAAGAGTCTCATTTTCTAGCTTATTTGGCGGAAGTAGCAGCTTTCATCAGAAGGCCCTGGAAGAGATGAGTGAAGTTCAAATACACAGTAAACTCGTGGCCAGCCCTGGGGTAGGCTCTGGGCGCTCGGCAGCATTCTTCGCTTGGAATTGCCATCCTGCCACAGAACAGTCCAGCTTCAAGGATTCTTCC